CCAATGCATACTTAGTATAGATCTGATGCTTGCGAGTACTTTGGATGAGTACTCACGGTTGCTTTGCTCCCCTTTTCCCCCTTCTTCCTTCTTTCTGGTTGTTGCAACCAGATGGTGGATCCCAAGAGCCAGATGATGCCACCCCGCAGACTATTACTACTACCCAGAGGGTGCCTTCTACTACATGGAGCCCGTTGATGACCAGGAGTATTAGGAGGTCCCAGGAAGGAGGCCTTGCCTCTTTGATCGTTGATGTTTGTGCTAGCCTTCTTAAGGCAAAACTTGTTTAACTTGTGTCTGTACTCAGATATTGTTGCTTCCGCTGACTCTTGTGTATCGAGCTATGTATTCGAGCCCTCGAGGCCCCTGGCTTGTAATATAAAGCTTGTATTATTTTGATTTGTGTCTAGAGTTGTGTTGTGATATCTTCCAGTGAGTCCCTGATCTTGATCGTACATATTTGCGTGTATGATTAGTGTATGATTGAATCGGGGGCGTCATAGAAACCCATGATTTGTTTTGCCGTGCCTCTTCACAGGGGGAAACCCGTGATTTGTTTTGTCGAGTCCCTTTTGTAGTGTAGTGAGAACATGTCAGTTTTAATTGCTATATTTGGTTGTTTGCAGTATGCGTTGTTTATTTCAGTTGTTCACAATGTGATGCTCTATATGTGCAATTATTTATTGTGCAGTACATTTCATCAATCCAGTTTTAAACATATCGATAGGAATGCATATATTTGCTTGTTGTTAAGCCTGTTATAGCTAGCATATGCCTCTTTTAAAGTTTTCTGATTGTTTGGTTGTTTGTAGTTAGCATATGTCCAGTTTCAAATACTATCTTTGGTTGTTCGTAGTATGCCTTGTTTATTCCATTTATTCACAACGTGATGTTCTATATGTGCAAGTATGAACTGTGTAGTTCGATTTCATCAGTACCAGTTTCAACAATACCACTATGAATGACTACATTTGGTTGCTGCATCTTGTAGTTAACATGCCTTTCCCTTTTTACTTGACAATAATCAGTGTATTTAGACCGGCACAATACCAGTTTGAATGACTATGTTTGCTTGTTGTTAAATGTTAGGCTTGTTGCAGTTAACACACATTTCCACTTGTTTTGCTTTACTAGCATGCTTAAACCTACAAACTAAAGCTTTCTTTTGGAGATTATTTTGTCTGCCATGGATAATTTGGGTTGATGTTTAGCCTGTTGTGCTTAACATGCCTCTCGATGTACCTACACAGGACAATTTTGGGAACGACTGTTGTTTTCCATCGAGGTTAGTTTCATCCCATGGCTTATATATACTCACTGTACAGGATATCGGTAGCCGGTATCCATATAGGCCGGGGGCTGATAAGGGACTAATCGGTGAATTGGACTTTTAACTGAATGTATATGTAACCCATTTATCGTTAGGTTAACTAGGGACATATGTAATATATCTGAGGCTACATAGCAACATGCACTGTACTTAATGTCTAAATATGCAATCCTAGGCTATATAGAAACAATGAAGAGTGTTACCTTAATGTTCTGATGATGTCTAGATATACGTAGAAGAGCAGCAGCAGCAGCAACAACAACAACAACAACAACACAACCCTGTTTGGATACTCAACTTAGCTAGAGGTTAGAGTTAGTTTCTAGCTCATGACTAACCCTGAACTAACTCCATCCAAAGAGGTGTTTGGATGACATGGTTAGATTGACAATAAATGCACTAGGAGAACTAGCTCCAATTAGCACCTCTTGGGTTGGATAGTTTTTTTTGGGTTGGTTGGATGCAACTAGCCCAAACTAGCCCTCATGTTTGGATATACTTTAGGGCTATTTGAGCCCGAACTAGCTCAAACTAACTCTACCCCATGGATACAACAATAGTTAATCAGCCGATAATTTGTAAGAATGCAATAAACTCCTTCCGGCCCATAATATAAGATGTTAATTCATCTAATATGTTAGTATATTGGATGTTATAAGATATTATAAAAGAGTGTTGCACTACATCATTGTGCAATTGATGTTTAGCTTTTAATATTAACTTGGTGCTTTTAGATACATATGTCATTGGTAAAGATCAGCGCTTCGACCCTTTCTGCGTATGGGGCAATTAGATATCGATGAACCAGCATCAAGTGAGGAAGCTGATAAAGATTGTTAGTAAAATGGGTCAAAAGATGGCAATTAAACTATTTGTTTACACTTTATCCAAGACAACAGCGAACTGTAGACCGGTAAGTAAGAATTCTCAGCCTTCTTTTTACTGCCCATAATGAGTTGTGTTAGATGACAATGTTTCAATCTTTTTCCTTTGCAGTGGTTGCCAAAGCAGTTTAATCAAGATTACCTCTTAAACTACATGATTGGTGGGCATGCAAAGGTTAAAGTATTTCTACCAGAACACGGTGATTATTAGATGTTTTCATGAAGCCCGTGAAGGATGGGCAGTCGGCCATCACAAGTGGTTGGACTAGAGTCGTGCGTGCCTTCTACATGGAGGATGGCACAATATGGGCATTTCGCTTCACCTTGTTTAACAACCGGAATGTATTTCACATCTTTCTTTACCGTCTTTAATAGTACAAGTATACAACTGTGGTTCATCATTCTTTATTTGGTCCTTATGTAATTCTTGAACATATGTACCTATGAATCGAATAATGCATTGGTTGTTTGAACCTAATGGATATGAATAAATCTATAGCATACATTCAAATTCAAATTCAAATCCGGTATAATTTGAAATAACAACAATTAAATTGCGGTGAAATTATGCTCTCCAAGTCGTTACGGCACACACGGTTGGTAAAATACAAACGTTTGCGATATACACCATAATCCGACACGGTTCACACAGAGGAAACGTGTGCAAGCATGCACACAGTTGTTGTTTGCAAAGCGTGTGTGATGTCAGACAATATCACAAACGATGCGGGCAAACTAAACGTTTGTAATAGTTCCCTTATCATACACGATTCACAACCATGAACTGTATCTGACGAAGTATGCATCGTAAACGTTGCACCACAGAATAGCGTGTGCGATAGTTGTCGTGTACGACGATGTTATGACGGTCCAACATTTCGTAATCCTGTCTCAAACTCATACGACGATTAACTAATCTTCTTAATTAGTTATCACATACGGTTTGGGAAAAGCGAATGTGTGTGATTGTATGCTTATCATACACGTTCTATAATAGTGAACTGTTTGTGATGGGCCGCACATTGTAAACATAGCATCACAGAATACCGACTGCGATGACAATGCGAGCACAAATGAGTAGGAGTACTGTATATGCATCTTGGCTCCCTATCCCCGACGGTTTCTGGGTCGTGTGGGAAGGACCCCCTTATCGCCCACACTCACTTGGCGACGGTTCCAAATGTCGTCGCGGAAAGGGGTTAAAAATTCGTTTGTATAGCACCGACGCGTATCAGTGAGGGAATATTATCTATTCGAATAGTCGTGTCCATGGTAATGGACGCTCGGAGTGGTATCCTGATCTATTACAATTAGAAATGGATACTTGAGATATGTGGTGGATATGTTGGCTTCGGGATTGCTTTCTCGCAGGGAGTCGAGGAAGGATCTATGGGCGTTAATACTACAACATGCTTGTTAATATTAAAATGTTATTCTATACTCTTCTGAATGCTGCAAGATTCTTGAAGATGCTAGTCTTCGATAGATTAGGCTTTCCCCTCTCTTCTGGCATTCTGCAGTTCAGTCCACAAACACAACTCATTCCTTTGATACTGATGCATACTTAGTATAGATTTGATGTAAGTCTTGCGAGTACTTTGGATGAGTACTCACGGTTGTGCTTTGCTACCTCTTTTCCCCTATACTCGGTTGCTGCGATCAGGTGGTGGATCCCAGGAACCAGATGCCACCCCGTCGACTGCTACTACGTGGAGACCGCCGACGATCATGAGTAGTTAGGAGGTCCCAGGCAGGAGGCCTTGCCTCTTCGATCGTTGTTGCTTTTTGTGTTTGACTTCAAGGCATCCTTGTTTAACTTATGTCTGTACTCAGATATTGTTGCTTCCGCTGACTCGTTTGTATCGAGCTTCTGTATTCGAGCCCTCGAGGCCACTGGCTTGTAATATGAAGCTTGTATTATTTTAGCTGGTGTCTAGAGTTGTGTTGTGATATCTTTTCGTTATCCCTAATCTTGATCGGATACATTTGCGTGTATGATTAGTGTACGATTAAATTGGGGGCGTCACAAGTTGGTATCAGAGCTGACTGCCTGTAGAAACCCCCTTTCCAACTCCTTGTGCGAATTCGAGTCTAGTCTTTGAAAAACTATTTTACTACATGGTTGTGTGGCTTACGGGCACACGTCGCCATTGAGTGGTATTAGGATCTTTTATTCCTCGTCTATACTCTGGGACTCTGATGTCTCTTCTATTCGGGTTGGTATCTAAATTTGTAGCACTACTAAAGAGAATGTTTGGCAATGATCCAACTTCAAGAATGAGAATTTTGGTGGAAATGATCTATTTGATTGGGTGAGGGGGGGGGAGAAACGAATGAGTATCTACTTACTGGTGACAATGGTGGGTAATTTTCCCCCAACCCCAACTTCTAGAATTTTTTGAAGCACCCCCTAAAGAGCTTCATAAAAAATTAGGAGTTGCACCCCAGATTCTAGTTTTTGCAAAGCAGCATATTGTGAGCTGTCCCGTTTGGCTTGTGTTTTTTTGAAGCGGAACTGAATTTTAAGGAGAAAAGCAGTCCCAAACAGGATACGGATAAAAAGCGCCTTTTTCAAGAATTTGGATAAAAAGCATTTTTTTTAGAGAAATAGGATAAAAAGCACATGGAAACTAGGACCTGGCCCGTGAGACGAAACGTAAACCTGCCCATGGGCCTCGGTCCACATCGATCTCGGCCATCTCAGTAATTCTTAAAACCTCCTCCCTTTCTCTCTTCTCTTCCTCAGTCGACGCAGCGCCACCACCTCTCTCCCCCCACTATCTGCCATGGGCCTCCTCAAGAACTCCCTCCTGCTCCAAGGTCTCCTCCCCCTCTCACAAGATCCCGTCTCGCTTGCCCGCAAATTCCGCGGCACTAACCTCTGGATCTGGCGGTGCAGGACAGCTGCGGCAGGCTACGGCCGCGGCGGCAGGCGCCGCCGCGGGAGTGGGGCGGCGCGGCGTGGCGACGTCGACGGAGGAGTACATGCGCCGCAACTACGCCAACAATGTCTCCGAGTACAACACCGTCATCGGGTCCCTCGTCCAGCAGCGCAGGCACGTCCAGCCCTCGTTTCGGTTCCTGCACACCACCTGTTCGACGCAGTTCCGAGCAGTGGCATTTCCCGTTAGGATAGTTTTGTTAAGCTGCTATTGTTGCGTCGATGATCTGGTGTGGGTACGCGCATGCCTGTGCCAACCTAATTGTTTCTTTCCGAGTCTGAATTAAATGCTTTCGTGTTGTCTTCAGGCCCTACCTGCTTCGTGATGCCTACGATGACATGCTACTCGACGGGGTGCAGCCTGTGCGTGATACATTCCACAACCTCATAGTCGGCACCATGAAAGGCAGCCGGCTACAAGATGCTTTCTACTTCCGTGACCAGATGAGAGAAATGGGCTTGCAGCCTGATGTTAGACCACTCTCTTCTTTACATGCCTTCATCTCCTATGCCAATTCCCTTCTTATTTTGTCGGACGAATTAGGCTAATGGCTCAATTCTTTGTAGGTTAACCTATACAATTTTCTGATTTCCACTTGCGGGAAATGCAAGAACTCGGATGCGGCAATCTTGGTTGGTTATCTTCCTACCTATTTCTGAGTTGCTGGATGCTTCTCCTCTGTTACTCGTGCTCACCAATGCTCTAACTTTTGTTACCTGTACTGAAGCTTCTGGAAGAAATGAAAGCACATGGCGTTAAGTTGAAAGGAGAAACCTACATTTGTCTCTTGAATGCACTTGCAGCAACTGGGTGTACTGATCAAGTGTAAGGGGTCCTTCGCATCAATTTGTATGTTTTCAGATTGTAGAAGCATGCAACATTTAAGACTGAAATACGAAATCGTATTCCAAGATATACACTGTGGTTGACTATCTTTACCATGATGTTGTGACTTATCAACTGGGCACTTGGAGCAAATAAGCCAAGGCCTGCAGATTGTACAATAGCTGTTCCCTTGTTTTCGTATTTCCGTTAGTAAAGCTCCATTTAGACCACTAATACAGGATTAATTACTACTAGTTCCACAAATTTGAACACTAGACTACATGTAACGTGTTGGTACATCAAGGGTTATAAGGGCCTCTGGAGGTTACAGAGTAGGAGTGCCAGTTTTCCTTGCATAATGTGGGGGGATATGTTATCAGAAGACATCAATTCCACTTGTGCCTAGGTTGTCTCTTCAGCTTGTGGCAAGTTTTGCTCTAGAATTATAGTAGATAGCTAAGCATGTTTTTCAACATACTTCCTAAGCGTGTTGATACATCCGTTTGAGCGTCAACTAATACCGGATGGATGGAGTATAATTTGTCCTGAACAGCAACTCTTTCCAGTATATCCGTTTATTATCTATGCTGGGAGAAACACTAATGTGATTGTTTTACCAGTTATGCTATAGTTCGTGATATGACCGCCGCTGGACTTGGATTAAACAAGTTTTGTTATGCTGGACTAATAACTGCATTCAAGAACAAGACACCAGCCAGTGAAGATACTCCGGCAAAAGTATGTTATGCACTCAAGAAAGTTTGTTGTGGTGGTGCATTTAACATAACTGTACTCATCCTTCTCTCTACTTTGTTTTCAGATTCTTGAGTTCGTCCAGCAGTCAAAAGGTTGGCAGTATGTTGAAAGGGTAGCAAACGATAGTGCTGAGAATATAATGATGAATGTGTCAGACGAAGAGCTATACAACTTGCCAACAGCAGAATTTGCACATAGAAGAGGATTTATATTTAAGCAGTTAACTATTTATCATGTTGCTATCCATGCTTGTGCAGACTTGGGGAGCAAAGAGGTGTGCTATGCTGCATTTTCACTGTGTTTTTAGTAAGCAGTGTCTAGTTACTGCTCAGCAGCATTGATACTTGACAAATTCACATGTCCATAATTTAGTTATCTTACATTTCGTAGTTAGCTCATGTCATGAAGTTGAGCTTTACCTACTATGAAATTTAATCCTCTTTACAATTTTGCAGACACTCGAAGCACTTCTTGACATGTTCTCTAAAGAGAATTTTAATTATGATGCCTTCATTGTGATGCAAGCTGTAAGGTAATCTGCAACTCTGCATGCTAAACAGTATGGATCTAATGATACATTGCATGGTTATGAGGAACTTCAATGGTTAATTGCTCCTGATATGTTCAGTTTCTAAGTATGTCAAGAACTCATCAAGGAATCGTCATCTTTGGCGAGATTCACTGATATAGCTTCGCTGTCCAAAACTTTAAGCCTGCGCATTATGCATACTGAAAAGTCTCCTTTGCACGTTGAATTAACAATCTTATAAAGTGGACATTGCAAATCAACGAAATCGCATTATGTACCGATGTCTAGGTAAATGTACATAGTATTTGGAAATGCAGTGTCTATTTTTAGGATACCTGCAATTGTCATTTGGCAACCCATCATGTTTGTCCTTTTCTATGGTAATGATTTCTATCAACTTCTGGATCTATCTGTTAATTTCTTGTCCTTTAACTGAAAAGGTGTTATCTTCGATGTGGAGATATTGATTCCGCTGTTAAGATGTTTGAAGAGTTTTCAAGCTCGAAACCCACACCCGCAGAGCTGTATGTGGTGAGTATCTTGTTAAAGTTATAACTTGAAATTTAATATTTGTGGTTGAAAGCAACATAGGTTTGAATTCCATTACGGATCTTCGAATCCTAGTGATGGACATGTTTCGCGGTACATATCAGGCCTTGTGTCTTGGACTATTTTGATCTCAAAAATTTAGTTGTGGACTTTCAGAATCTTTGTAAAACTTTCCAGTTTAACCACTACAGGATTTACTGTTCCTTTGTAGTCACAGGCTCATAAACACAATCATACTGCTGCTTGTTAACTTTAAGCTAGCTGCTACCTTTTGATTAGAGACCATTTTCATTAGTGGATCCAAATTGCAGTGGTAGCTCTTAGATTTCACAAATAACAGTTATATTTCACTATATTTAAAAAAAAGGAAAAGATGGAAATCAAATTTGAAGTTTGAATTTGGTACCGTCTGAATCCTATATGCTGAACAAAAATTAGCCACATGCCAAAAACTGACCATCTTGGGATAATATGCATACAAAATAATATAGATAACTTTACTATAGAGTAGCTAATTAAGGTCCTACATATAATTCGTGTAACAATAAAATTTATAATTAGGAATCTATATATCTCTCTCTTATCCACACCATGTGCTCCCAATTTCTCACATGCACCCTTTATATTCTATGCATCAATGGCCTGCAGACACTTGCCGAGGGAGCTATGATAGGGTATACTCCAAGAGGATTGGAAGTTGCTCAAGCAACCTTGGTAATTCCTTCCTTCTAGTTTTGTGTTACAGTTTGACTAACTCGGGAGTTCAAAATCTTATGGTTTACAATATTTTTCAGGAGAAAATGACTGAAAGAAAATTCTTCTTGAATCCCAAGATGGGGACGGATCTTCTACTAGCGGCTTCTGGTGAAAAGGTAAGCAGCACAACTGACACCTTTCAGTACTGAAGTCACAGAAGTGCTAATGCTTCCTGAAAGAAAAATTGAGTTGCACCAATGACTGTTGAAATTTCTATGGGTTTGTTCAGACTGGTGGATATACAACTGCAAATTATATCTGGGATATGCTGCAAACCCGCAATATAATTCCAGCATTTCCTGCTGTTGAAGCATACTACAAGGGATTGAAGGTAAGCTTCAATATTTTAGAGTCAGTCATGTCATCTGGTATATTTTCCTCACCTTGGAGTCCTCCCGTGTTCCTTTCATAACTTTGGATTGGGTTCAATTATAACATTAGTTTACAATGCCGAAACTGGTTGAGTTTTATCAAATTTTGAGAGCTTACCGTGCATGCCACGCAATAAAAAAAGCAAGGCTTACTTCAATGTATCAGTGTGCTTGACTGAACAAACGAGAATAAAATTGACCATACGTGGATTCTAACTCTGTTTCATGGTCTCTTGTATCCCGATGCAGGAGCGAGAAATTCCTTCGGACGATCCACGGCTTGTCAATGTTGCCCGTGTTTTGGACAACCTGCAACTCCGGCTTGGGCCGAGGAGAAATTTTCAGTAACACACGGTCAAACTGCTCTAGTCTCCCTGAACCAATGCAGGTTGAAACCTGTTTTGGTAAGGAGGTTGCTGGATGCATCAATATGTTTAGTCTCCAGAAAACCGAATAACTACTTTTAGGACGACACAAAGCAAGGAGAAACCATCAAGAATATCTATCCGTGGATAACGGTTAGGGAAGAATGGCAGGGACCAGTGTATACATCCCGAGACAGAAATGTATTGTTTTGTCGCCTCATATGCCCAAGTCTCTTTCGTAAGTTCCATTCAATTTTGTTGTTATTTATCTGAGCGGACTATCTATCGAACTTTGTGGTTGGAGTTTGTACTGGTTGCCGTTCAAATGTGATTGTGTAGTCGTCAGTTGTAGCTTTCTGATTTCTTGGTGTTTGTATGTGGAAGATGTTTCATATTGTTTCAAACCAGGAGGTTTTGTCCGGCTCCTGCTCCGCAACCTCCCTCTTCATCAGCTTCTCTGACACCAGAAGAGAGCTTCTGCTGAGGTGGACGGTGTGCATGTGCTGGTGCTGTTGTTTAATTTGCTATGCAACTCAAGAATAAGAACAAAAACTGAAATGGTAGCAGTCACCGTGTTGATTCTTCATGCAGAACACAAAACAAAGATCTGCAGTAACACGCATCAGGCTTGCAGCGTATTGCAGATAACAAAATAGAGAAACGTCAAACTCCGTAAATTTATTCCTCCTTCGACGCTTCTCCCACCATTCAGTCTCTGTGTACTGTATATCCTCACAAAAATCTAACATCCAAGAAATTGGCAATCTTGTACTGTATTTCCTATCTCAGCCTTTAACTATAGATTTGTAAATTCGCCTTGTACAAACCGAAAGTATGACAAAGAAGATACGCCAGGACAGTTTTAATGTCGATAATCAGTGCACGTCATGTAAATAGTACTACATTCCAAAATATAATGTGTCCACGCTTTCCAAAGTCCAACTTTGACCATAAATTTAACTAACAACACCAACTGCGGCGGGAGAAAAAATTATATAATTGGAAACTTCTTTTGAATACAAATTCACTAGTATAATTTTTACTCCCGCCATAGTCGATCTTGTTGGTTAAGTTTATGGTCAAAGTTGAAGCACAGGAATAGATGAAGCACTATATTTTGGATCGGAAGGAGTAGTTGAGATTAACAAAAATATAGGGCAATCTCACAGCAAATAAAAAACTCCAAACACACAAGAACACTACCCCAGTTCACACCCTAATTAATAATTTTACATTACAGATACTGCCACGGTAGGGTACAGGGAGCAATCGTAGTTGCCAGATACAAGCAATTAGCACCTCTAGGTTTTTTTTGAGAGAGAAATTAGCACCTCTAGCTAGGAACAAGAACAGTAAGTCAGCGTCTGTCCATAGTGGCAACATTATGCTACAGATTAGAATCAACTTGAACCTATTGTCTCGCAGGGGCTTCAAGTCTTCAATCAAAGCTAAACAGGAAAAACCGTATGGTCCCAGGCACACAGGTACTAACTAGATCAGGCCTCACAACGCCGCAGCGCCAAGAGAGCCAGGCTCGCTGCCGTGCACCCTGAAGCGGTAGATGCACGTCAGCTCAGGCTGTCCGTGGTTCGAGGAGAAGTCGAGCCGGACCATGTTGATGACCGACGCGTCGGCGGTGGTCCTGTCTAGCTGGAAGGTCTGGGCGTTGCTCTTCTCGAGGTCGTAAGTGAACTCTCCTAGGCTTGTCGGCGTGTGTGGTTGCTTGTCTGAATCGTCGTCTGCTCCTTGGTACCACCCGCTGACCTGGAAATCCTTGGGAGCGCTGGACCGGTCGTAGGCCACACTCTGCACAGGCAAGGCATGACTAGAATTAATGAAGTAGAGAAGTGATTCAAGGAGTCAAGGACAGGCAGGGCATGGTTGTTCGACAATAAGATCATAAAGCAAGCAAACAAAATGGAAGAACCAGTCATGTCAACTGGAACACAGCAAACAAAGAACATAAGCTCCCTTGGTAACTGATTCCAAGCACCGCATCAGTTCCACCTCGCATACTATTCAGATCAAACCCATCAAAGATAATTTAACTCTAGGATATCAGATCAAGGCAAACAAGATCTTGGAACCACATATATGCCTGTAAGATTAGCCTTGTGGATTAGATTCAGAGTAAGCAGGAACAGAACGAGGTCATGATGTCCAAAAGCGAATCAGGACTGTTGACCAATACTTTCAAAGGCCACGTTTGGCATTGTGGTTGATTATGATAATCCTGTTTGCCCAACCAGCTTTTGCCCATTTTACTGTTTGTGTAACCAACTTTTTCCTAAAGACTAAGTTCAATACAGCTCAGCGCACCACGAACTGAGCCTAAATTGAGTGACTGGCCAAAAAAAAAAAACTACATTAGCTCAACTGGTCACAGAGGGCCAAGTGTGAGCCATGTAGGTACTGAAAAGTGTTGGGCAGCAACTTGAGATGGCATTTGCTTATAGATAGTTTTCAGGGGCAATACTTCATTTTTTCCCTCAGTAAAACCGACCGGGCACAATAAAGCCTAATTGAGGGGAAGAACATATGAAGTCCAATACTATTAACAAATAGAGCTCCATGTAATGATGTTTGATGTTTTCTGGAAGTTTCTAATAGATAGTAATGGCATCAAAAGTGAAGAGGATCAATCAGAGCACACACCCAACATGTCATATGTTGTCAGCTATCTCAAATCAGAACTTGTCGACAAAAAAATAAGAGCATGTAGCATGGAAAATAATGAGCTACAGCCAGAGAGATGCCAAAATGAAAAAAAAAGGTAATACCAAATTATGGTAATACAATGAATAGCCATACCTTGTCGACATGCTCTAGAGTGACTGCCTCAGGAACAATTCCGGTCCTGAGCCTGATTTCCACAAATCCAACACTTCCTTCCAGTGCAAAACATTCTCCTGGCTGCCCAAAACTTGGCTCCAGCATTTTGTGACTTTCACTACGACGAGGAAGAATGCTCTTAGCTTTCTTGAAAGCTCCCGAATGCTTAACCACTTTGCCACCACCAGACCCTAATGCATAATCCACCATTCCAAGACCATCTGCCGCATGCCTGGCTATCTCCATCTCCACTATCTCTTTGGCAAATATTCTTACATCGTCTAAGGTTATATCACTCCCAGTGCCATCCAAACCCTTCTTTCTCTTCAACTGAGTCAGAATCTCATCAAATTCTTTCTTGGAGACAAAACCCATGTCTCTCAGTTCAGCAAGTGACTTGTCTAATATGTCAGCCTTGCCTTCCAATGTCTTCACCTTTGTCTCTAACTTCTTGCCCTTGTCATCAAATTGCTTTGTGATGTCCCTTTTTGCTTTGCCGATCTCATCTCCTAGTTTCTTATCTAAAATGTCCAGTTGCACCTGGAGCATCCTAGTCGTCTTCTTGAACACCTCTACCTTTGATAGTCTGCTCTCCATATCAAGTGCTGTAAATGATAAATCCCCATTTTGCCATCCCCATAACACCTGCCCCATCCAAGCAAAAGCCGTAAAAAGAAGGCAAAGCTTCATCAGAACACTTAGTGCAGTTTCCCACTTGGCTTTTTCATGTTTAGTGGTACTTTTCTTTCGATGTTCAGAAGAAGGTGCCGGAGGAAATGCATCTTTTCTTGCCTCAGATGAATATTTTGGTTTGTCGATAACTGACTCTCCACGGCTTGTATGATGACCAATATCTTTCTTGCTAGAAACCTTATCATCTGGGACCCCATTAACTCCACCTTCAGTAAGAAGCTCAGGTGTAGGTTTTTTCTTTGCAACAACAACTGTTCGCCGCCTAACATCTTGGCTGGAATGTGAGTCCACACTTAGTGCATGGTTCCCATTTGTATTTGCGGCCGGTACTGCAGCAGTTGAAGCCATTGTTGTGCCTTAACCTACAATAGAACATAGCTAGATCACAAACTGGAAATGATGATGCAAATGGAGTAAGGCACCAGAAAATGAGTGCTATTATTACATAAAGAAATTTGGCAATAAATCTGTGCAGATTAACATGAAGGATACAGCCAAGGAATTGATCTTATAGCCAGCCTTCCCATATCGTTTTTTATTGGTAATTTATCTGTGCAGGACAATGGGTGTATAATCTATCTGCAGCTAAGTGTCTATATAGTCAGCCTAAAACAAAAGGTGGTATACACATGCATAGATGAACTGTAACAGAGATAACAGCCTTCCGATACATTTTTTTCCTTCGCAAATCCAGCAATTAAAGTTGGGCAGTGAAGAGCCAATCATAAGTAGGAAAATAATACATTATCGCGCATAAGTACAGGATATGCTGCAGATCTCGAAGAAATGGAAGAATTCATACTGTTATTTAACTAGTATAGTACTGCCATTTGCCATCACGGACCAAAATATAAAGCCAAGTAGTGAAATGTGAAGACAAGGAGTAAATTGTGGAATCGTACACAACATTTCGAAGCAAATCTCGAATTGTATATAGTTGGCACAGTAAAAGGAACAAAAACAAATAACCCAAATCAAGAAATCTCGTCCGCAACTTCCTAACGGTTCACCAAACAATATAACCCTAATTCCCCAAGTTCAAGCAATTACATCACCAGGGAAGAAGAGAAAACCCTAGACTTTCGGAAATAAGCTCTGCCCAAACCGCACGTCTGCGCCCGGACTACCACGGGTCAACTCAGGCAGAATGAAGAGGGGGAACGACCTAAATCGAGCCCACCGAACTGAGGATTAGAGGGCGCCATCCATGGAGCAAACAAATCGGCCGAATAACCGGTTTAGATCTTGGTCGCTCGCTGCAGCGGCAACGGAAAATACCCGAGGAGGAAAAACCAACTAGCACGCAATCGAGCTAGGTTTGTTTGGTTCCTTACCGACGAAGGGGGTAACCGATCCGCGCTGCTGCAGCGCCGGTGGGGCTGGCCTGCGGTGCCCCGCCGCCGTCGGCGCGGGAGGGCTGTGGGGAGGAGGAGGGCAGCCGCGGCCGGGGCTGGGAAC